CCCTAGAAATTCATCGCATCGGGTTTAGTGACTCCAATAGTTAAAAGCACAAGGCTTTGAGGAATGCAAATCATGTTTTTTTTTTGTTTTTAATTGGACCCCCTACCTGAAAATCAGCTCTGAATTGTAACATACAAAACTCAATAAAACAAAGATATTATTTAATTTCAAATGCTTTTATTTGCTTTTCGTTGTTTTTATGTATATGGACAATATTTTCTGAAAGCAAAAAATCTTTTCGATAAAAAATGAATTTTTAATACAATTATTTGTTATTTCTTAATTATAATAGATTTTTACATTTAAGTTGTTAAAATATTATAAAATTAGTTGAAAGCCACATCGGGTTTCCTAAGTCTTCTTATTAGATAGATCTTTTTTAGCGCGTTGTAAATTGTATCATTTTGACTAACCAGAAGATCCGCAGTAATTATGAAATGTAACTTTTTGTTTATAATCGGGCTGTAATTATAAAGTATGGAAGACCAACCAGCATACAATTAAGTTGAGTTATTTGAGTTAAGCATTGTTCTCCGCTGTTAAGGCCTTTACTTTTGCGAAACACGTATGGAGAAGTTAATTTGATTTTTCAATTTCAACTGAGAAGTGTACCTACAAGTATCAGTATCATCTTATGAAATTTATATGATCTTATTTTTATATTAATATCAATTATGACATTTTTCCATGAATGAAGTATCAAAATTAATAATAAAATGAATGGAAATACAAATAACACAGTTAAATTTAATAAATGTATATAAAATAATAGTATTTTATGTACACTTCTAATAAAACTTCATAATATATATATATATATATATATATATATATATATATATATATATATCATTATATCTATCTATCTATCTAATAAAAATATATATATATATATATATATATATATATATATATATATATTGAGCATCAGTTTTTTTTTTTTTTTTTCATTGACTTGCACCATAATACCATTTGTTTTTATGGTTAAAACTCTAGTTGTTATTACTGCTTATACGCTATAATAACTGTTTTTGTGTATTTTCCGGCTTTGTTGTTTTGTTGATATGTTGATTATATGATATTTAACTGAGCTAGAATCCGATAAATGCCATGTTAACTGTTACGATTATGTAGTGTTCGCGTAACCAAGGTACGTGTTGTTTGAACTGAAATTGTTAAAGATACATTCTGCAAGTGATCAAGCAAAATCATAGACAGCATTTAATCTTTTTTTTCCGTGTTGATTATATATGCTTTAACAAAAAATATGGATGTGCGGGTGGTGTAATATATAGCCGCATGGAATGAGAAATCGGCGACCCAATTTCGAATTCTAGTAGATTTCGTTACAATGACTTATGAACAAATACACTCTCAAAAGAATCCTTTTCTATTTAGTTGTAGGTTAAATAGAAAGACTTGAAAATGAAAACAAAAACTATTTTAAAAATGAAAAGAAAAAATGGAAAAAAAACCATTGTTATTCACTCACAAAAATGAATTCTTCTCACAATATTCAGTTTTGAATAATCCATATAATGTTCATAAACCCTGAAACAAAGATCAAATAGAGATCAAATAAATATCAAGATAACCGGAATGATTATATAGTCATTGTGTAACCTATGTATATGTTGTTTATGAGAAAAAAATAGTTTCGTCTATCGCCCGGTTCACAGTGCTTTTTTTTTTTTAGGTGTATCTGTTGTTTCATGCCTAGTGTTGTGTTTCCTGTCCATTCTAAAGTCTGCTTCAAAACTATACTCGAGACATCTCCGTCTGGACACGGAAATTATATTTACTAATCATTAATTCCTTTTTATTCTCCTCTTCTGCTCAAAAAGAGTAGCTAGGTTGGCCTCCCCCCGTCATTTGAGCAGGTGTATATATTCATCCTTGTTACCTGTTTAGAATTAAGTTTCTGATCCCTTCTAAAATATTTTCATTCTCTTTCACT